TATCATGTACAAAAAGACATTTTACGATGCAGCCTCTGTGTTTCATCCCTTAGCTGTAAACACAGATCGGACTATGCAGGCGGGTAGGAGTGGGAATCGTCAATACAGCCTCCTACCCGCCATGTATTGAAGGGACATGTAACTATTTTGCAAGACGGAGACGTGAAAGAAAAAGAGAGAGAGTGGAAAAGTGTAACAGCATGAAAGCAATAAGAATGTGGAGGAAACTAACATATGATATCGGCAGTAATTCTATGTAGTTATGAGGAGGCAATTTTCATGAGAATAACGTTCTAATTAAGTCTTTAAACCATGACTCCCTGTGGTCGAAATCACACCAGCCACGAAATCAAAACGACAAGCACAAGAGGATGCAAAAGTTAGGGGAAAGTATAAACGGTGAGGAAGCGTTAGGGTGGGTATCTGTGAGAAAATTTCTATAAAAAATGCAAATAAAAAGACCTGTTTATAATTGGTGATACATTCATTAAAATCGCGGCGTTCCAAATCGCAGTATTTTCGTCCAAGCTTCTGACCAAATGCTTCCAAGCAATGCCAGTATTGCGATTCGAAAAAGCCACAAATTGTGTCTAAAAAAACCAACATCCCCATGCAAAATGCTATCAAAATGATACAACAAGAGTTCACTACCTTTCTTACTTTTTCTCAAAAACTCCCTATCTTCATCATCACCTATTTCCTCAATTCCTCCTTTTTTTTTCGCCTCTTCTCCTACCTTACCAATTCGTTATGAACTCTTTCACATAGTAGTTTGAGGGCTGCACTGATGATTCCCACCCCATTCCACACCGAATACTGTCTATGTTTGCAGCTTAGGGATGAAACACAGACAACAAAGTCTACAATCAACATTCACACATATTCTCACTACATGCCCTACATCTTTTTTACAACATATGCTGTTCTATAATCTTGCTTCGTCCCTTGTTTTTGATTTTTCCTTCCATACCATTTTATTCAACTACATCCCACTTTATTTCACTAGTCCAAACCAAATTCGTAGTAATTCTGCCAGAGGCTCCTCTTCCAAGGGCTATTTAAAAGGATAGAAGTCAATGCCAAAATCTTCAGAGTGCCCGTGAGAAGCCAAGACACTCAGAAACATTCCAAAAATAGCAAGTGCCATGAAAGCACCCGGTAACAAAAGGCTGCCACTGCCCCCCTCTTCCGAGACTTGCTTATAAGAAAGCTTATCTGATAGGGCCGCACGTGACCTGGGAGCATACTTGGGAGCTGGGTTTGGAATCTTTAAGTTATGAACATCCCTTTAAAATCTCAGCTTCCCGGCTTTTCTGGTTCCCCGAGCACGGAAGTTAATCAATTAGAAAAGCAAGCAAAAATTAAAAGTGTCAAAAATGGATAAAATGGAGCACGTTGGACCTACACTTTGACTGGAGAAGTGACTGTTCGATCTGTTGTGCTCACAGCTGAAGTTACCACTAAGAGGGAATGCTGCGCACTGCCGAAAGTTTATTTTACTCCTCGCTCGGTCCTCCAACTTATATTCTGCTCGAATAATTTTTTTTTCTTTAACTTCCTTTCTTTCTTTCCTTCCTCACTTTGCTTGCTCCTTCACTCATATCTATTTCTTCCTGTCATCCGTCTTGCAAATTACACACATGACTATTCAAAACATGGCGGGTAAGAGGCTGTACTGATGATTCCCACTCCTACTCGCATGCACTGTTCGGTCTGCGTATACAGCTAAGGGATGAAACACAGACTGCGTGATAAAATGTCTTCATACATATATGACATTCAAGTGAAATCCTTCTATTCTTCTATTTCAAAAAACCGATCATACGTTTAGGAAGAAATGCGCCAGTATCAAATTTAAAACTCTGCCGTATACGGCCCCG